AGTAAGAGAATGCCACAAGGAAATCATCTCACCTTTTGTCTTCGTCTGTCTTTGACCTTGTTGGCGCTTCTATTGAACAGTTACTTAGGTTGAAGGAAGAAACATGTTAGGAGCCCGATGAATAGGGAGTCCACGCCCTTCTTTTATTTCTATTTGTTGGGAGAGTTTTCAGTTGGGTGTTTTGGATCATATAAGGCTACTATTTCTACCAAAAGAACTCTTATGTGATAGTCAATCGTCATTTTCTCATAGTTTGGTACCAGATTTTATGCATTGCCGTTCTGCAGTATGCACAAATGACAAACGGAAAAAAGGGTCCATTCATAACAGGTCTATTTTATTTTATGTAAAAAGAAAAGGGGGTCCCTCTCCAAGATCATTGAGAAGGCTCAGAGATTTGTGTAAATATTTTACTGTAAAAAATATTATAGCTTGTAAAAGCATTTACCATGCAATAGGCGGGATATTTTGGACATTATCTGTACATTCTATTGCATTAATTTTAGTTATGAACTCTTGAATATCATAATATGTCCCTTGCTGAAAGAAATGTGTTAGTATTCTAACATTTGCATTTATGCAGTAGAACCCTCTGAAAAGTCTGTTGAAATTATGAGAAAATTCTCAGAGCAATATGCCCGTAAGTCTGAGACATACTTCTGCATCGATAAAGGAGTCACCTCTGTTGTTATCAAGGTAGTTTTAAATAATTAATATTGTGTCACTTGTATTTTGTGACTGGTACTTATTTACTGTATTATTTCGATGGATTTGAACGATACTTAAGCAGCTATCATGTATAACTTTTATTTGATTAAGATCTTGCAGCTATAACAAAGCTATGCTTTTCCTGGACAAAAGCTACTATTATTTGGTAGATTGCCAAATATCTGTCAGCTAACTTAACATATTGATTATAACTACCTAATACAAAATTGCTAAAATTGCAACTTTGTGTCACCAATGGTGGATATGGGGAATCTAAGGATGTTCTTTATCTTTTTGTAGGCTACTTTTCTGCATCACATTTACTTGATTAAGGACTTAGAGCTGTTATAAAGTTATCTCTATCCTGGAATTCCTAGAATGTTTAGTAACAATGTTGTAAACTGCCACAGGGTCTTGCTGATCATAAAGATATGCTGGGAGCACCATTGTGTCCATGTAGGTAAATAATCTCATGAAACCTTCTATTCTTTTTTATTAGAAATATGTTTGCAATAGATCTTTAACACCCCAACATGATAATTCTGTATCAGGCATTATGATGACAAAGCAGCTGAAGTAGCACAGGGATTTTGGAATTGCCCATGTGTGCCTATGCGAGAGAGGTAAAGTATTATTCTTTCAAGAAGAGAAGAAGATTATAAATCTTGATATGCATAAATATGAATTTTTTCCCAGAATTATATATAATTTTATGTGAGGTTTAAAATCTCACCAGTGCTAGTATTGGCTGGCGGCTGAATTTGTACGGTACCGGTTTGCCTGCTGTATCAATACTTAGCACAGAGCTACTGCTTGGACCAGAGAGAAAGCGAGAGAAGGAAGACAGTGGCAGAAATGATGACTGTCATTGCATGAGAGAAAGAAAGAGAATGCATGAGGAGAGAATGAAAGAGAAAAAACAATAAAAGACAGCTATCATCCTGGCAAAATTAATGAAGTGTCTGGCTGGTAGGCTTACTGTCTGATACACCCAGTTCCAGCTGTAAAATTTGGGCGATCCACCCGATATGGTGAACCTTCCTGTATGAACTGGTATTGGGCAAACCCATGGTCCACATACTGGTTTTTGATCACCGATAAATATCCGCCTGTACCATTCAATATAAATAGGTACCGAGCAAACCTGTAGTCCATGTATGATTCATGATCTAATTGATAAATACCAGATTGTATCGACTGGTGTGTCCAGTTTTTAATACCTGTGGTATACAAAGAGACCTACATATATGTATATGTAGTTGTACACTGAATATCCCAGATAAATTGCATTTTTTATTTTTATTTAATGTCATTGCTACCGTTTGTCATTATTTTCCGAAGAAGCTGATTAACTTCTTACTGGTTATGTTCCATTCTTTATGGGGATCAATGTAAAGTAATATTTTTTTGTCAGATTCAAATGTTCTGAATACATTCGGTTTCATGATTTGATTTCTTTGTTGTTCACGAGACGTACTTTCATGACTGAACTTTTAGAATGCTTAGAAATTCAGTAACAGTTCTTAACTGTAACTTAGAGCATTTTGTTACACAAGAGATGTTTAGTTTTGCATGTCTGAGTATCGACTAATTTCAGTGGTGTCACATGTTGTTTTCTTATATCCTTTAGCAGTTTATTTAATTGATTCAATGTTTCCTTGGTCTACGAGATTAATGTGTCATACTAATTCTTTTTACATCTTATAATCATTTGATTGCAGGTGTTTTCGGATTATGTATTATATGCTGAAAAATGGATGATATTAAATTTATCCAAGTAGATAATTTTCTGATGTATGGATGCTATGGTGTATTATTTTTTACATGCAATATCTTGGCAGGAAGGAGTGCCACTGTATGCTTTTTCTCAACCCTGACAATGATTTTGCTGGAAAGGAGCAGGTTGGTGACCAATGAAATTGTTAATCTGTCTTTTTTCTAAACTATGGTTCTAACAATCTGCTTCTAAGATTATCATATCTAAGACTCTGTTATGATTATTGAGGTGTGTTTTTACTTTGAGCATATTAACTCATTGGTTGAGTACATTGATCATCTTTTTAACATACCAACATTCTAGAACATATCATGCACTTGCTTGGAACTAGATCCAAGTTATGCTATTATATCGTATTGAGTTCTATTATCTTTTCAAAGGATTTTCTGCTGCTAGTACTAGGTTTCCTATTGGGGCCCAAAAATCCACAACGTGGGTATAGATCTTTATTTTTTCTCCCATTAACCTTATCTGTCAGTCATCAAAAGTACTATACTTAATGATATGGATAAATCTGATACCCAACTCAAATACTACCCAGAAATCAAGCATGGATCTTAATTTTGGATTCAGAATCTTATCTGATACAGATTTAGACCCTAGGTACATCCAAGACGATAACATCCCTAGCAGTTCTATATAAATTTATAGCAGTGGAGTAAAATTATGGTAATTCAAGCTTCATCTTAACCTGGAAACGGAAGTTACAAAATTGAACTAAATAATTGGAAGTTGATGAAGTAATTAATATAAAGCTGCTTCATATTACCCATTCTGAAATGTGATGCTCATATGAAATGTGAGAAACATTAAGTGTGAATCAAACGAGTCAAGGTCAAGACAAGTACTGGGGAAAAATATGATGGATATTGGACTATTTGGTAGTAGGATGATGAATTCTAGAAGGATGTGTGGTTCCCACATATATGATTCTTATGACATGTAGTATGGTTTGCTAGGCATTCAGAGCTACCAAGTACTTTTGTAGGATGGGTTAAACAAAAGTCAATTTATCTAGTCAGCATCTTTTTCTTTTCTGTTTGATCATCATCGTTTCTTGCTTTATGCAGTTTGTTTGTTGAACATTTTGAGTAAGAAACTTCTGATAAAAGTTCACAATCCATATATGTTTGCAATTTGTTTCCTTGAACATTTCTTTGCAACATTTTTAGTTGTTACAGTAGTTTCTGAGTAAGGTCATAATTGGCAAATTGGGATCCCAAACTGTTTAAGGTGCCAGTCAATGTATCTGCCTTGGGTGTGGTAGGAATTTGGATGTTTGAATAGCATGACAGTGTCCTCGCCTAATCATTTTTGGCTCTGAGTCTTCAAATTTTACTGAGCATACTTATAAAAGTGTACTCTGATACTCGTGCATTTGTTAGCACACATGCTTCATAATTATAAGAAATTCCTACAACTTTCCCACCATTCATTCTACTCACATTGTGTTTCTTGTCTTGCAGTCCATCACCTTGGAAGAGATCAAAGAAGCAATATCACAAATCTAACCACCAGTAATCAGTTTTGTATTGTTTGTATCTGGTTGTTATATTTTTAGTCCTTGTATTTCGATGGTATACTAAGTTCTTGCCGTGTTTCAATTGTAGCAGTATAGGCCTACAAAATGTTCTCAAGGATCTGTTGTTTGGATTTGATTATGGTTGAAGCTGAGGCTTGATTACCGACAGAATCCCTCTTGTATCATACGAAATCTTTCAGGCCAATCACCTGTGGCTCTGGTGATAAGAAATATTTTTTTGTATTTTAGACTGCCCACCTTTTTTATCAAATATTTTGTCGGCCGATGGAATAGTTCAATGCATATGGGGCAAAAAGAAGAATTTTACTTTCTTATTGCATGATTAATATGGGCAATCTCCTTTCTTTGATGCACTTGTGTGCTGCAATATATATAAATATAAATATAAATATAAATAAATATATATATATATATATATATATATTAAAATGATTTATTGCTCCCGTTTAATACCAAAAAAACATGTTTTAACAACAGCAGTTGAACTTCCTGATCTCTGCCTACAGTATGGTTTATAAGAGGTCGTTAATGGTCTGTTATTTTATGGCACCGTGGATTTATGCTAATTAGTGGGAAATTAGCCAACGCTGATTTGGTACTAATACTTTGCATTAAAATGTTTCGTTAAAGAAAATTGGAATTTTCTCTTTCAATTTTCTCGTGCTGTTAATCATTAATTATTAGTATAATTAGGTCATTAGTTGTCTCGTTTTTAGTATATAACATTTTTCTAGTATGTAACATTTTTTTACCTTGTGCTGGGCTAATAGGAATTTTAATCAGGAAGAATAAGAGAAAGAAAAAGAGGTATTGGTTGATAAATGGCCTCAAGCGCTTGATTACAAAAAAGATAATGAAAACAACGGTAATAATAATAGTAGCTATATTTCTTATTTTCTTGAACCGCCTCGTCCTTTCATTCTCCGGGCCGGGCTTTCTTCTGTTGCTCCTCATACCATAACTCGATTGGTTGTTCTGACTGCGAAGCTTGGAGGTAAATAAACGATTCTTTTCTGTTCTTTTACTCATCTTCCTTGTTTCGTGTGTTCTGTAACCCTCATCGATCTCTAGGGTTACCGGGCGAGAGCAAGATCCTGATCCTTTTACCGTCTTGGTTTATTAGGGTTCCGGATCTGTTCTGTTGGTGCCGCTTGATTCGCTTGACGAGAGAGAGAGAGAGAGAGAGAGAGAGAGAGAGAGAGAGAGAGAGAAGGAATTACCAATAAAGGAGAAAAAGAAGGGAGGGGAGAGTAAGAACGAACAGATGTCTGCTCGGCCCCAGTTCACGATCACCCTGGGCCGAAGCGGTCAGGTAGAACTTCCTACCTCCTCCATTTTTCTCTGAAATTACATCGTCACATTCGCGCATCTGTTATTTGTTGTCAAATAATATCCATTATATGAATTCACGGTTCCTCCTGCACAATGGGTGCTTGATTTGAGCCTTCTGCTTTTAGGGTTGGAAATGGTGTTTCTTGTGGACATTGGCTTCTCTTGCTAGTACGGTGGATATTCGAGCTTAAGAGAATTTTATATGCTTGCCTTTTGATTTCTGCCTGAAAGAGTTTTTTTTTAAAAAAAAAACTATTGTGTTTGAGTCATTTTTGCAAATGTTCAGGGAGAGTTTCAGATTTGTTTTTCAGTTGTTAAATAAGATTCTGCCTCAGTTTCAGTTCTCATTGGTTCTTTTCAGCACCTAGAAGAATTTGTTAGCCTTTTCTTCAAGAGAGTTGTGGCGTGCTTATATTTTTGTATGATTGTGTTACATGTTATGCTTGGTTGGTTGACATGTGTATGTAACACTTGACAGATTTACAAAACGCAAATTCATAGATACTTTGACCTCTTTCCTTTCTGATGTTTGCAGGTTGTTAAGAGAGCAAGACCTATATCTGATGGCAGTCATTGTGATGATGACATGCCCTCCTTAGCATCCAAGCTATCAGTGAGAGAAAGGTTGGAGAACAACATGGCCAATAGCAGTTGTTATGGGAGCCAGTATGAAAACAAACGGTGTGCTTTTTTCTTTCTAGCGTAATGTAGTGATAAAATTTACTCTGTTGTCAATTAGCTTATGTGGCAAAAAAGAAATATTTAGAACCATTTTATAGATATATGCCCTTTCTAATGGATGATCTTCATTCTGAATCTGTTCTTGTCCTTGTATTCTTTGTTGCTAAAGAAATTTTAGTCTGCTTACTGCAGCTTAGCTGTATGTACTCTTGCTGTGCTATCTATGAGCATCAAGGTTTAAACATTATTTTGAGATTAGCTTTGTCCAACTTTTTAAGGTTTCTTTAATAAGTATGCTCTTGTTCCTTGTATACCAAAATGACTTTTGACCATACACCATTTTTCGTTGCTAGAGAAATTAAATAGATGTATATAATTGCCAATTGTTTTTCTGCTTACTGGCTATACTCTTGTACTTGTGCTGTCTATTAGCACCATGTTGTAACAATAAGCTAGCTTCGTCCAACTTTACACCCTCTTCAAGTGTTTGCCTATCATGATGTTTGTCTTATACCAATTTGGCCATATGCATGTAAATCATCTCCACTTTTGCAGAAAGCTACATTGAAAGGGGATCCTAATTCCTAATCCACCGTCCTTAATATTTTTATTCATTAACACTAGTTGTAACAGTTCTCTTTGCTGGCAATAGCAATGGAAACAATATTGTTTCTGTGACATGCTGGACATTTTAGCTTTCCTGCCCTTGGCTTCACGTAAAGGGTTATGTGTGTATTCATTTTCTTTTGTTTTAGTGTTTGACTTCAGGATTCAATTGTAAGACTTTACTTGTGGATATTGGTTTTTCGTTTTTAGAATTTTGGAACAATGTATGGTCAATTTTAAAAGATCTACATAATGAGTACAACATTTACTTTAATTGAGCAGTTTTATGTTTCTGAAGACTTTAGCACTTAAGATATATTTTGCCGTGGAATTGGCCTTTTGCGGCTCTGACTTAAACCTCATTTGCTTGACGAAGCAATGTGTTGGGTCACAACCCTGAGAACACAAGAGAATAATTTTCTGACCTGTTATCCTGATTTGTTGTTTTTTATTAGTTAACCAAATTCTATATTATGTTTCATGATGCTGGTAATTTGTTACTATGTTGCAGTCAGAGAACAGATGATCATGATTCAAGATTCATGAATAAAAATCCGAGGGACAAGCATATCAAATCTAGTATCCATATGAAATTATACAGAATTAATTGTTTCCACTTGAACTTTCTTTCCTCTGCTTTGTTGGTGCCTTAATGCATAAAGATCATCAGGTTCGTAGAGATGATCTGAGATGGAAACTTATTAATAAAAGCTTATCTCGAAGAAGACATCCTGTTGCTGAAGGACAATATGATGTTGACCTACGTGAAAAGCTTTCTCAGAATACACGTGCTTCTCGCGTATCTGATCCTCGGCAACATACAATAGAATCAAGAACCTCTGGCTTTGGAAGGAGAATACCTTCTACAAGAAGTGCAGATGATTTACTTGAATTGGATTCACATAGGAAGTCATATTCTTGGACTTTGGATCAGCAGAGGCGTAATTCTCCAGATAGGCTTATTAGCGCTCCAAGGCGTATCTCTCCTTCAAGAAGATACGAGGAACTGAAGCACACATCTGTGATAAGATCTGTTGATGCTTCCAGAACTAGTTTTCTAACAAACAGTGGAGTAGGTGATTCTTCTAGATCTTTTGCTTTTATGACTAAAAACACTTCTGCCGATGCAGTCAAGCCAGTTGTCCGAGCTCCTGTACCAGGGGATATTGGGCAAAGAATTGTACTTAAGGTATATCTGACTCTTCCAAATTGTTTCTCATTATTGTGAATGTCTTTTAACTTGAGCATTTGCAGATGAAGAATCGTAGATATCTGATCCAATGGACTGCTTTATGATACTTGTAAAACTCAGTAGCTTTTTACTGATTAGTAGTTGTGTGGGGAATGCCTATCCTTCTTTATTGTACACACTATATAGTGATATATTATTCTAAATGGCTATTTTGACACCATTTCATTGCTAGTGAAGGTGAACATGCATGAAATCCAAAATTTCTTTTCTAAAATGAATCATCTTTTGATTATGGTTAGTTAAAAATAAGGATCTTAGCAACTATGATGTTCACAAACTTTCGTAATTAAGTTTCACTAGATTTAACTCATATGCTGCAAAAATGTAACTTCAGACTGTGAGGCAATTTTCACTGTTGTCACATGCCTAACTCTGTAAAGTTATGATGTCTGGAATTCTTAAATTGTTATACAATTAAATATTAATTTATTTTTCGTAGTGCTATTTGTCTTGGAAGCAAAGAGTTAGATGTGTAATATATATGACCTCTTTTTGAAGCATAGTTAAGTGACTTTTTTTTTGGAAGAGTGTGATATCCTAAATTGATGGTTTTGATACCTTAAATATTCCTTTTTTGAATGGATTTGTTCTTTCAATCATTCTGCCTGATATGGATAAAATTTACAATGCTGATACGGAATTAATACCTAGACTTATAAACAGGTTGCGTAGCAAAGCTATGGCCCAGCATGAACCCTACATGACTCATGTGGTTGGAGTTTAACCATTTTAACCCATTTACTTGCACTAATGTCTTTACCACTGTTTCTTATAGAGGCTTAATATATTTCCACCATTAAGCAATTCATCTTTCTACTGTTAAATGTTAATTCTACATTAATCATAAATATTAAAAGAAATATATGAGAAAATAAGATTTCTTTTCTATATTTATTGGATGTACTTTGGTAGTTGGATATATGCATGAGTTGCCATTCTCAAGTCTATGCATGGTAGAGGGGTGAGGAACTTGCTCAAAAATTCTTTGCATGGCTGTGGACAAGATGGATAGATCGGGAGAAAATTCTACTTTTTAGCATTGGTATTGAAGCAATAGATAAGATTGCATATATTGACCCTCTCCTTTGAACCCCCATTTTGCGAGAGCCTTGTGCACTGGGTTCGTCCTTTCTTTTATTCAAATAATAAATAGCAAAGGGGTAAGGTTTGTTGTAGATGTTGCAATGGATCCAAATGATGTATTTTTTTTCTGTTTTGGTAAAGGGTAAGTGGTGAAGAAAGGTTTTGATTTCAGGACATTGTGGTGATCTCACAAAATCTTAACCAAAATGGTACATTGATAAGAGGGATGTCAATTCATGGTGATCATGCTATTAATTAGTCTCCTTTGTCAAAGATTTTGTCTGATCAACATGATGTACTCTTCATGCAATTTGGATGGCTTGGTTTTGAGAAAGATAATTTAGTTTGTCAAAATTTTGTTTTAGGTTTGGTTTTAAAGAGAATAATTTCCAATAAGATCTAAAAGGAAATTAACAGGCTTCTTGGTGCGAGCTTGTGATTGTGGGTTTATGAATACAGCTTACATGGTTGAGACCAACATTTTTATAGGATTGTGGGCATTACCATGATTTGATGGTACAAGGCCTTATGGCCTGAAACCCACTCAATTAGCTAGAGGTTTGGTAAGTTTCAATCCTGTCCCAACCTAACCGATTAGTCATCTTGAACGGGTTTGATCCATGTGAAGTCGATTTTACCCAATGGATTTGAATTGGGACCTTTGAAGTGCCAGATGTTCCGACATATGGATAGTCTAGTTGGCACGTCTATATCCCATGGTATGGCAAACATTAATGTATTAGATTTTTGTCTAATGTTGTTGGTTGGTCATATATCCTGAGATGCACCTTTGTTCAATAGCGACAAAAGATCCATGTAGCCGTTATGACAATATGTCGTTGTTATTATTGTTGTATCATAAGATGCAGTTTCTGTGCATTGGGTTTTTATTCTGTGTGCACCTCAGTCACCTCTTGCTAAAGCCACTTAGCTTTGGTTAATTGGTGAGGACCTTGGTGCGCTATGTGCCTTAGCCTTCAACAAAACTGTCTCTAACTTTATTCATTTAGGACTTATAGAAATGCTTATGACTGATTCAAGAGCTTATTATGCTACAACTTGCAAGATGAGTGATGATAACTTCCACTAACTTATGAGCTTATAATTTTTTGCAATATTGTACATCATGTGTATTTCCTAATATTATAATTATAGCCAAGCTTTCCTTAATGGACACAATGTATCGAACTTTTTTTCCTTTATGCAGCCTGAGGAACCTCTAACAGTTTCTGGCTTACTACACTCATTAGGTCTTGGAAAATATGCCGTACTATTTCAGGCAGAAGAGGTATTATTTTCTGTCAATTTTATTTTTTAGAATACTTCTTGGTGCTTAAATTTCTGGTGTACTTTAAGAGTCTTCTACAACTATTGAGAACTTGAAATATTTGTTCATATTATTCTATCGGGTGTTGAGAATTTTACTAGTCAAGTGATCTAGACTATAGTCAAATATGCCATAGTTTTTAACTATATTGTGTTAGAAATCTATCTTATCGTTTTGCATGAGGTAACATGCTTAATGGTATGTGTTAGGAACTTTAGAAATAAATTTATCTGGTATATTATGATTATGTAAAACTTTTTCTTTATGTCACATCTTCACTACATGAATGCATGTAAAATTTATGTGAACTTGCAAATCCATGTTTGGATGTTTATGCATGCTTACATGTAGATCCATTCAAATTTTTTATAAAAGACTAGTTGTCATGATATGGGCTTGATAGGTTAACTAACCTATCAACTTCGTTTGACCTAAACCACTGTTCAAAATGCTTAAGGTAGAAGTTGATAGTAGTACACTTATCAGACCTGTATAAGTCAATCTTAATCTTTTCCACTTTCAATATAGGACTAATCAGGGTGTTATAATTTTCTCCCTCAAGGACTTTGACGTCTTCGTCAAGGCCCAGCATAGTCCAGATTAAACTCAAGCATGATACATGTGAGGCGTAGCCTAATGGTGGCTCCACATTATGACGAGTCGTCCTTTGACTCCATCCACGGGTAGCCCTTTCCTACTCGAGCCTCCTTACCATGCTCAATTACTAGGTCAGCTCTGATACCAAATGTCATGACCCGAGCTTGATAGGGTAATTGACCCATTAACTTTGTTTGACCTAAACTATTGATTAAAATGTTTAAGTTTGAAGTTGATAGTAGTATACTCATCAAATCTTTATAAGCCGATCTTAATCTTACCCACTTTCGATGTGGGACTAAACAGGGTGTTACACAGATACTTTTGATATTTAGAAAGAAATTTATTTGAATTAGCCAATATTATTTATAGGAATTTATTCCTCACATGTACTCTTGGGCAATCGCTTCCAATTTTAATGCTAAAAAGGACATAAAAGTTGCCTATAATACTTACAAAACTATATTTGACACTATTTGATTTAAAATAGAATATCTAATCTACTTTAGACTCTACAGTACTTGGAACTAATAAAGTTTCCTGAATGGACATGACTAAAGTTTGCCTGAACCAGTTGGTACTTATGCTTCTTGTTCCTGTGAGACCATCGATTCTAGATAATGCTTAAGATTGACATTATGGAGTTTTGTGCTCATGATCACTGTATTGCATCTGGTTGCAGGTGGATATGACTGCGCTGAGGCAGATGGGAGACAATGACCTCAAAGAATTGGGAATTCCCATGGTGACTTTACATTGCTTTCAATGTCTTCTTTTGCTTGTATATTATCCACAATTAGGCTTTTCCTGAAGTAAATTTCCCAACATATTATTCCTTAAGTACCTGTTTATAAGATTAATTCAATTGTTTGATATATTTTACCTTGTCCAAATAAAGAACTTTGACAAACTCCTTGCTATATTTGAACAATAGTTCATTTGAATATTTTTAGTTTGTCGTTTTAATTTGATAGTTTCTGTTATTAGTACATGTATGTAGTTCTTGTTTTGTCTTTTATTAAAGCTTGAAACTAACATTTCTTCTATGTAGGGCCCTAGGAAGAAAATCCTTCTTGCAGTGTTATCTCAAGCAAGACATCCACAACGGCAACGGTGAGAAAACCAAATGCCAGTTGATTTTGGGTTTGTTTTTGTTATGGCAATTGAGACACCAAATTGTAGGATCTTATCCTCAATTAACGCTTATATTCATACCCATCTATGGAATCTAATGTTCTCAGATGATTAAACCTTTCATTCATCAGTGGCAATTGAAAGCTTTTTCAAATTGGTGTTGCACAATTTTATCCTTGCACTTACTAAATAATGCGGGACACAAAGCTTGAAAAAGCACAGTATTTAGAGATGAAAGTTGTTGGTGTTACGGCTAGCTAGACAACTTATTTAATCATTTCATTGACTGAAACGAAGAACTCTGCAACAAGACAACTTATCTATACACATGCACCAATTATTTGTTTTCCTTACCTTGAAGGTTGCTGGATTCGCTCAATGTAAGTAGATTGAAGGTTTCTGTAGTTTTTCTCGAGGCATTTTCTAGCTGTCTGTGTCAAGTATGTCATTTAAAAAATATCATATGTTCTGTACAAACGTGTCCTTGGGTTTTTGTCTCTCTCGGAACAGTTTATGAGGCATGTTGCCATAAATAATGATTATTTATCTGTCATGTAGAGAAATTCTTTAGATTTGGTCAGTGGGAGGGAGAATTGACGTGATGCCTTCTTTGAAGAGCATCCTCGGTTAATCTTATGGTTTCAAGGGAAGAGTTGTTCCTTTGTGTTGACTATGGAGCTTATTCTTAATTGTATTGATAGATAACTAATGACCAGTGTTGATATTGTGTTTAGTTATTGATGAAAGATCATAATGGTTTGTTTGGTCAATCTTCGCAAGGGCGGAATTGATCTAAAGACCCGGTCAATCTACCGGCCAACAACACAATGATGGCTTGTTGGACCAACCTACACCATCTACTGTATTCAACTGTTATAATAGTTCCCAAATGTTACCTCATCCTACCTGCTTTTGAAAGGTACGGAAACAAAGTCACACACCGGAAGCTCCAACAAGGATTAAAAAAAGAAGAAATTAAGATAAAAAGACCAAAATTACACACCCGAATCCCACCAAGCCGTGTCCACATGGCCGTTCCCAAATAGTTACGGAAGAGCTTACAAACAAAGACGTACAAGCTTCCATTCTTCCACAGACTCCCTACTCAACGAGCTCACACCATCCCTCGCTCGGTAAGAGAGAGATGAAAGGCGAGGCAAACTCTAACGCACTCGGCCGAGTTGACTCAGAACTTGGCTGAGTTGATCCCGGCCGGCCTGTTATCGAAAACGTTGCGTCGCGGCCGAAGCGACATCAGCCCGTCCGAGAGGGCGCTACTGACGTCGTCCCCCAGATCGAACCCCAGGGAGGCCGCGGCCTCATTGTCGCCTTCCTCCCCTTGGATCGCCCTCAGTGCCCTCCTTGCCATCTCCCCCCGGGGCCCTCTTCCGCCGCCCTCCGTCGCCACCCTCGTCAGCTCCTGCTCCGCTCCCGCCGCCTTCGCCAGGCCCCGGAACCGTAGGCTCCCTTGGCTCATCCAGTATAGCACCGCCACGCAGTGCTCCTCCTCCGCTGCCTCCAGCGGCGGCCCCCTCATGAGCGCCACCAGTGCCGCCACTGCGCCGGCGTCCATCAGCGCTGCGCGCCCCTCGTTGCAGCTGGCCAGGTTATGGATCACCATCAACGCTATCCTCGCTGGCTTCGTGCCCTGCCCCAGAGTGGCCGCCTCTTCCTCCCTCTCCCTCGCGACCGCGAGCAGCGCGTGGACTGCTCCCGGGGCGCGCGCGATCTTGGTCCGGTTGGCGGCGGCGAGGGAGAGGTGGTAGAGCGCCATCCCTGCGTCGCGACGGGCGCGGGGGCCGTCGGCGGAGTGTCGGGCGAATAGGTTAAGGAGCGGCGGGATGGCGCCCAAGACGCCCATCGTGGTGCGATTCTCGTCCTGGAGGGCGAGGCCGAACAAAGCGCCGGCTGCGTGGTCGCGGGCCTCCGAATGGCCCCTCCGGAGCACCTCCACGATCGCCGGCACTATCCCCGACCTCAAGATCCTAACTTTATTCACCGGCTCCAGCGAAAGGTTCGCCAACGCCGCGGCAGTGTTGATTTGGACGGCAGCGCAGGACGAGAGGAGCATAGGCCGGAGAGCGCCGAGGAGTTGCGGGGTGCAGAGGGCGACGCGCCGGTCGCAGCTCTCCCTCGTGGCCTGTCGGAGGGCTGCCGCGGCGGATTCTTGGTCCCCCTCATCCAAATCCGTCAACTTGGTCAACACCTCTTCCATCGCATCGGTCGTCCTCCGCGAGGGCGAATTGGTGAATCTTGGAGCTTGCTCTCGACCTAATCTTTCGTCGACGACCACGATCTCAGAAGAAGAATAGGAAGATGACGAGTGATAAGAGGCTGACGACGGAGTAGACGCCGACGAAAAGCTTGAGGATTTGTTCTTCCCTCGTTGTCGCTCGGAGAGAGGGGGAGAAGTGGTGGGGTTCATCGTCTGCTTCGACTCCTCCAACACCGATGGCAAGATGCCATCTTTCGCATCCTTTCCGCCATCAACGAACTCGGAAGCTCGCAATTCCATACCTTTTTCTTTACCTCCATTGCAGACTTCATCTTTTCCGTCTTTTCCACCACCAGCGAGCACCGCTGCCGAGCCGGTGGCGACAGAGGCAGCAGCAGAGGGAGGGAGAGGTTGATCTTGGGGCATGAGGCGGCGGACAATGGCCACGGCGGCTTCCGGGGGGATGGGAAGGGGAGGGGGGAGGCCGCAGCGGGAGCACCAGGCGACGATGGCGGCCTTGAGGGCGGCGTTGGAGATGAGGAGGAGGGGCGGCGCAGCCTCCGGCGAGGAGAAGGGGAGGTGGAGATCAAGGGGAAGGCCTGGTGGAGGAAAGGCGAGGTCGAGACAGGCCTGGATGCAGCTGCGCTCGAAGGTGTGGCCGGAGTGGATGATGACGGGATCAGCCATGATGGAGCGGGAGATGGGGCAGAGGAACTCCACCGGCATCTCCGCCGTGAAGGAGGGCGCGGGCGAAGTCGATGCGGAGGTCGACGGCGAGGTGGCCACCGACCGGCGGAAGGACAGCTTCCATCGCTGCTTACTACTTCCCATGTCGGCTCGATTCCTAGTCCAAGCCAGCCATTCTTGGTATCCTTCGACCCCTTTCTTTTCTTGGCTCTCTGTCTCTCTGGTGGAAGGAGAAGAAGAAGAAGAAGACGCAAAGGGAAGACTTTAGTGGAAGGAGCGAGGCGAGGTCGAAGACATGAGGTTGTCGTCTATTTATGTTTCTTTATCCCCCTCATGTCATCAACACAATTATTTTATATTATTTTTATACACCATCTGAAATTCTAAACTTGAAATTTCTTGAAAACTCAGCTCATAATTGACTGCATCCTTAAAAATTTGTATCTTTTCTAAGTAGTAATAATTTTTTCAATCTTTTCAAATAACTTTACATGTTCATCTTAAAATTCTTAATTCAATCTCATAATTTTTTAATATTATTTTTTAAATTATTGAACATGGGAATTTATAAGCCGTTCAGTATACTATTATTATAATTTTTGAAGCTCTTCTTTATCTTAATAATTTTATTTTTATTATATTAATAACATCTTTATTATTTTTATTTTATAAAGATGATCACGAAAAAATATAAATTGTTTAATAGAGTCCCGATTGAATTGGACTTGCTTTCGTGCTTGTCGCAAATGGATGTGTTCGAGAGAGAAGAGATTCGATAAATAATCATGTAAAAAATCGAATGTGTGTTCAATAAAAACTCATTGATGCCTAGGTTAGTAATAGAGTCCCGATTGAATTACACTTGCTTTCGTGCTTGTCACAAATCGATGCATAGGAGAGAAGAGATTCGATAATAATCATGTAAAAGAAGTAGTAGAAATCCAATGTCTTTCCTTATTCGTCGAGGATATATATAAAGGCTTTTTATGACGGAGTGATTGTTGAGGCGCAAGCCGAGGTTAATGGAGGAAACAATTATATGAATCATCCAACTATCATTTAAGTTGTGCAATCATACGTTGAATCATCGGGTGTTATAATTATAAAGTAATAATTTACCTTAATACGAGGGACCATAAATTATCATCCTATCAAGTTGTTTTTGTCAGCAACGATGGAATTTCCGTAACATGTTTATCGGGTGAGTATGATATGCTATCATAAATGATAGTTGTTAAAAAAAAGAAGATAATACTTAGATAACAAGAACTAGAATTAGAATAATAATTACAAAAAGATCAATCATCCATAAATAACAAGAACTAGAATACTTGATAGATCCTAGCTAAATACCATCTCTTAGACCTTACTCATCATAAAAAGATACTAACTCAGTGGCTCAATTGATGGTTAATGGTCACAACCCTCTTAAAACATGGTACTAGTCCTGTGGACTCAATCATACCAGTGTAGTGTGGCTATCAGCAATCCATATAATTGTAGTTGCTGGCTAAATGAAACATGCAATTCTCTATTCTATGTACAAATGATATGTACAAAAGGAGAGCTGTGTGATTTTGGAGACAATAATGGCTTCATGTAATGATCTTGATGAGATTTTGCACATAAAGTAACCAATGATCTTTATGAACATCTGAAGAAATGGAGTGGCTGACAAATGATTGAAGCATGTCCTGCATCTCTCTGTCAACATATCCTGAGAATGATTATACCTACCCCCAAGAAAACTAGATAATTATTATTAGCAGTCAATTTAGATGTGTGCTCTTTCAGCAGCAATCTAACATCAATAGAAGTGCACTATTTGTTGTTCATGGTCTTCTTTATTGAAACTGTTGTGGATAAACATATAGCCCAGCCAAAAGTTTCAAGAGGTGAGCTGCCTGCAACTCAGGTATTCCAGAATGCAATGTGGAGTTTGAGTATAAACTTCTATTTCCAATGATGCCTGACATATATGCCAACCTCAATAATTTCATCAGCAAAGTTTCTTAGAATTGAGTCTTATCTCAAAACTCACCTCTTTCTATTTCTTGTTGTCATAAACTTCTGCAGATCAGGCTGGCAAAGAGCTGATTAAGAATAGATAGATAGACCTTCTCTGACCTTGGGGCATTCAACCAGTTGGCTTCTCCAAGAACAACCAGTCAATGATGTCCTGTGGAAGGTCCTATCAAAGACCAGTTGTGTGACAACTTGGAAGTTTCACTTGGAAATCTAAGTCACTGTTGAGTTCTATATCTTTGTCTGCTCTGATGAACTGTGTTTTAATTACATCCTTTGCACCCAAAAACCTTATCTCTTGTCCTGTCTTTGCTCTTAAATATCAATCACTTCATTGAGACTACCAAAAAAGCATTTCAAATTTCAAAGGGGGGTGTCCACAAGATCTGCTAGCCTTTCATCATTGCAGGAACATCACTTGCTTTCTGGGTTCCCAACAAAATGCATTAGTTTTGTGAGTGATCTCTAACACCTGCCCTGCATTCATTCTTTTGTTCCATCAACTGATTTATGTGAAGGATATTCCATTTCCTGTGCCATTTGTTTGGATGAATCGCACGCTGCACATCTTGGTTTTGTAATCCTAATTGCTTGAAGCCTTCTTCTTGTTCTTCTTATAAATGATTTGATGAGACAAAAAACAAATAATGCCTTGAATGTGTCAGCAGGGAATGTTTCCATGCTGCAAATGATAAAAAGTGCACATTTGCTTTCCTTCCCACATGACTGTTCAACCCAATCAAGGCAGAGAAGAAAACTTTGGACTCTGTCAATGGTTTTCATTGCAGTAACTCTTGACTGCCCACTTGGAAATGGTTGCAACATGCAAGCATCATAGCTTTTGTACATGGCAGGAATCTGATGAAACATGTTGTGCAGAATATGCTTGGCAATAATATCAGCTGAACTGATCATATGATATGCCTCAATACAGTAAACCAGTTTGCTCACCTGATCCATTCTTAGAGATTTGCCAACTTTGTCCATGGGGATGATTGTGGCCATCTATACAGCACTCCATTTTTAATGTTACATTGTTAATAAATGGAAATCTCTCAAGAAAAACAAATAGAACCATTTTTCTTTCTGATGTTTTGTTCTTGTCATGTTAGATGGCTCCTACTGATAAGCTTTCTTGTCAAAATCTCATTTATGGAAGCTAAAATCTTTGATCCCTCACTAGTTTATGCCATGAAGTAATGATTTAGGTACAATAGACTGTGAGGTCAGACAGATAAAGGTGAATCACTTAGTTAGTTCATTATGAACTTTGAAACATCTGGTGACTATAATTGTATCCACCACAAACAAAAAGTTGCTACAGAGCTGTAGCTTTACAGATAGAACATGTACTTGATTTATTCTTCTCAGTTAAGCTTTCCTGAGCCTTCCAATGCAGAAGAAAGCATGTCAATAATTCACCACTGAAATTGGCACAACACTCCAATCTAGAAGAAAGTATGGCAACAGTTTCTTACATCAGCCCAAACAAGAAATGCTTTTTATTTGTTGTGTGAGAGCATCCAAAGACATAATTTCTTATTATTTGTTGTGTGAAAGCATCCAAGTAGTTTGTGTTGAGATGAGTGAAAGCATTTTCTTGCCCATATTAGGCCTTGGGGTGTCAGTGCCAAGTAGCAAGCTTCTGTGATTCTATTGGGTCAGCCAAAGTTCCCAATGGCATGGAGAAGATGACCAGCCACCCAAGGAAAGATACATGTCTCATGGAGGAGGAAAAGGTTAGCTTCACATTCCTATCCAGAATAACCTCCTTTTCTGTGACCATGATCAAAAGGTGCAACTTGTCTAACTTTTTACCACTGCTTACCTACTTCATCTTCTCTTCTCCATCCTTTTACTGACTTGTTTGATCAAAGAACTCAAAAGAGGAAAAAGCTTCATAGTTTTCTTTTAGTTATTATTAGAAAAGCTTCATAGTTATCATTACAGGATGTCCAAGTCAAGTGGGAACACATGAGGGGTATACTTTTTTGTGCTTCTGGTGAAGCCAGAGGTAAAGGACAAGCTAGCTGTCTGTCCTGACCACAGAGAGAGAGAGAGAGAGAGAGAGAGCAAGAGAGATGATGAAAATTATAATGTGCCTTAGTCTAGATGAAAACATTGAAGTTGGATTAACTTTAAAGCAATCAAGGTTGCTTTAGCATAAAGATAATATAATCTACCAAACCAGATGAACAATCCTTTCTTGTTTCTCTTATAACCCAAAAGAAGAAGAAGAAGAGGAAGACAAATTATGATTAGTGTACCAGTAATTGTTCCAGAACAAATGGAGATGCAGCACATTTCCAAAAGAAGCATTATTTTAGTTTCAGAATCCTACCAAGATCACATATGCAATGTGTTCATTGCCAATAGAACAATTCAAAAGAGAAGACTTTGATTTGTGGAGGAGAAGAAGCTCCAAGTTTGTCTTATTCTGCACTATATGATAGTGCCTGTTGCTTTCTCTTGATCTTTAATTTGCTTCTAGCATTGTCTTCTTAATGTATTATTGGGGTGATAATTAGAAAGCTTTCCAGTGTTGCCTCAATAATTAAAGATAGCATGACCAGATTAACTAAAATTTTCAAGGGACTTTTCTTTTGTGTTTGTGATGATCAAATACTGTTTACAGTTTGTGTATAGTTCTTCAACCAAGATTAGCCAGTATTATTTGCAGATTATGTTTCAATCTTGATAGGAAAGATAAATATAATGATCTGAGATGGAGTTATCCAAGAATTATGGACAAGGTATGGCTTCATTTTTCACTGGATATGCTAAAATCTCTTTCTGCTAATTGTCTTTGATGATGTCTCTTACCAACCTCTCCAAACCATCATATTTATTGAGATGAAATAGACAGCAAAAGATCTACCTGATGCCTATGGTTTCTACCAACTGCAGCCTGCTTTGGATTCTCTGCCAAATCGTGTAGGTTGACTGGAAATAGTTCCTGCACTGCTGTTCTTGGTGTGGGCCTTTTCAGAGTGCTCAGGAGCTTAATGAATGCAGGATTGGAGTAGTAATCATAACAAATGCAAACAGAAGCAGGTATTTGGCATAAGGTTTCAGGATTGAGACACAAACATTGGCCAAGTTCCAAGAAAAAAAACAACAAGATCTGAAATGCATATTGCTGACTACAGATTTTTCCTCCAAACATAGAGTACAGTTGATCTTCTCCAAAATTTACAGTTTCTGAAAGCTTTTACAAAGAGTTATATCTGATCTCTTGATTTTGCTAACATAATTTTCTCCTCCAGTATCATTTTCAGAATCATAGTCATGATAATAAAAAGCAAGCTAAATAGATTTGGTTATCCTCTTTAGGAAACACAGAGCTTTCATGAACTCTGAATCCAACTTTGGAGGCAAGCAGAAGAGTTAATTATTCATGAAGCAAGTGTAGTTGGAGTCAATCTCAAGTTCAACAAAGAAACATAAAACACTAATTTTACAGTGCTTTTGAGCACATCTTTATGGCTCTGAAGTTCTTGAATCCTGTTGCAGTTCACAGTGAAATGCCACCATAAAACCCAATCATCATTCCCAACATCATTTCAATCAACCAGAGAGCCATAAGTGATGAGCTGATGGTTGATCTTAATAAAAAGAATAAAGAAAGAAAGAAAGAAATTTAAATGTATGTAATCCGAGAGTAACGATAAGCCGAGACTATTTTAGTCTCGTATCTTTTAATGATACGAAAGAAAAAAAAAAAGAAAGAAAGAATTTCTTTTAATGATAAAAAAAAATATCAGATTTCATATCTCACATCATATTTTAGTCTATTTCTATCCGAGACTACATCAAAGGTACATCCGACAACTCTAACGATTAAATCAATTTCGACTTATTATAAATAAAAAAAATTATAAAATTAATTCAAATGAAAATATATATCGTCTTATATAATGTTTGTTATATGATCATCATCGTCGATTTGTTGTTTTGATTGATCGAAAATAATAATACTATCAAATTTTCAAGAGAAGACAAAATATTTTCTGTAGACGAGTCAAATTTCTCTCTGTTGGTCACAAGAGTTGGGTAAACCAAAACCTGTCGAATCCTTTTACATTCCAAGAAAGAACACAAAACTGAATCAACGCATGAATTACTCCACGCTTTGGGTAGAGTTCTTTGATGGAAGGATGGGAGTAAACATCACAAAAGCTGTGAGGTGACTGATGAAGATCCACATGATTCATGCACCTCCATGACATGAATCTTGGTGGGTTCCACGAGAGAATCCAGATGTAACATGATCTAGCTGGAGCATTGTGTTCATGTACCTCCCCCCACCCCCCTCCCCCTTTTGATCTGCTCTTTCATGCTGCCCTGAACTCTGGCAAAGCTCTGTGGTGATTCATGGAGTCTGGAGGTGTGCCAGCTATTTTGGGTCTCCCCAGCTGGTCTGATGATTATTAATGGAGGCCCCAGCACTGCATCTCTCTCTCTCTCTCTCTCATTACTTACTGCTTGCAGTAAATGGAATCCAGGCTTCTTGTTGCATTGCTGGTTCTAATAGACAAGATAACATCATTGGAACACTGGCACTCTCTCTCTCTCTCTCTCTCTCTCTCTCTCTGGGGTTTTACTGGTGCATGCAGTGAATGGAGTTCAGGCTCATTGTTGTGTTGGCTTGTTGCTCCACTCTAGACAGGATAATGTTGATAACAGTAAAGTCACTGCTCTTTTGTTGGAGTAAATTGAACTATAAGATCTCACGATGCATGAGTGGTGCTGAGATGCGAGTTAAATGTGCAAAATGCCAGCTAGAAAGAACTCTGATCATTGATCTGCTGTACAATGAGTCCTACCAGGTGGGAAATAATTTGATGGGATCCAATAATTTTAATGTTTCATCAATCGTAACATTTGATCTTAATCAAATCCTGTGTTGGCCTGGAAATGTCTCCATACTTCGAATAGAACAAGAGAGGACTCTTATTGGGGGTTTTAGAGGTAGAAGACGACCTTAACGCAGGCGAATCCAGTAGGTTCGCACGCAAATCCTTGTACCGATAATAGAGCCACCACCAGTTCTTACTTCTTAATCCATTAGAGGACGACGACACGTTTCGAGGTCTGCGATTGAACTTTGACCAACTGTGTCGCATGCATCTGATGACAATGGAGTTCTTTTACTGACCTCAAAGATGTGTTCGATGGAATGCAGCAGCCCAGAGGAAGACGACGAACGAGCACGAAGATCATGTATGCACAGACACAGTAGAGCATGAACACAACACGATTTATTCTCCTCCAGGCCAACGAAAACATGAGACGAACACTCGTGTCTCGATCAAAACAGAGCCAAAAGAACAGAGTGATCTTCTAGCTTCTTGGTCGCGGAAAGAAAGGCGGAGCTGCAGCAGACGGTGGCGGCGCTCAGGGGCACTTGGTCCGGTTCCCGTGCGTCTTCCAGTCGGTGTAGCACTTGCCGCACAACTCCGTGTGGCCATAGGTCCCCGGCGGCACGCACTTGCAGACGCTGCAGCAGGTGATGCAAGCTCGAGAGCACACGTTCTGCCGCGAGTGCAGCTTGCACCGGTCCTTGCAAGCGTCGCCGCACTCTGCACCACCAGCAAAGCACGTCGATGACGCTTGCCAATGACCTACGCAGAACCAAACGACAAGAGCTTCTCACCTTTGGTGTCCTTGATGATGCGAGGTGCAGGAGGAGCCGGAACAGGAGCGACCACAGGAGCCTTGGCATAGCCCGCCTCCATGAACGCGTCCTTTGCGTCGGACGAGACCTGCAACATCGAACACGTGTTCATCAGACGCGCTACGCGCGGTTCCCTTCGTCCGAAGAGTAGAACTCAGATGGCTGGCTTACTCTGGTGGTGATGACGAGTAGAGATGCAAAGACAAACACGGCCAGCTTAAGAGCCATGGTGTAGCAGTACCGTGCCGGTTAGGTGGTGAGCAACATGAGAAGAGCTGCTGCTGCTTATATAGAGGTAAGGGAAGGGTGGAAGCGAAGCGGAGGGAGGAGTCCAGGGGAGCATGGACTGGCGTCCATTGCCGTCAAAGCACAGGCTGGCACACGAGGACATGTGGGCATGGGGAGTTGCCCCTCTCAGCTCCTCAGAGCAGCAGCAGCTGCTGTCGCTGTCTGCTCGCCTTCCCCTCGAGAAGTAAATGGGGGTGATGAGACTTGGATTTGGCCTCGGGTGGCGTGGGATTGGTGCCATGGGGAGCACATGATGCTTGTCCTTCTAGCGGGCAGAAGCTTGCGAGGTTGGGTGAGAGGTGGGCTGTGAGAGTGGTTGGAGTCTGATGGTGCAGTCTCGGACTGCAGTACTTACTTCCTGAGATGTAGAAGACATACTACATCAGCTGAAATGTATGTATAACTTAGATACTGTTGTGTATGTTTGTCCGTATTCTTGTAGATGGAAACTAAGATCTCTTTTGTTGGGACTCATAGCCTCCATGTCTGTGATGCTCCGGCAAAACGAATGCTAAGCTCACAATACTACACTGCAGAAGAGTAGGGAGAGGAGAAGAGATCAAAATACTAATGGTGGTGGTGATTATATATTTAACCCCTTGGATTGAATGCTTCAAATCTTATTCCTTTAGTCTTGTATTACGTACTCAAAATCTTACGAAATTAAGTTTTTTTTTTGAATCTCGGATTTTGATGATAAAATCAATTGATGAGTTTGTGATCTAATTTGTGTTTTGAATGACGCAGGACTAGCATCGATCAAGGAGAGACAAATTGATCGAAGCAGGAAGAATAAGATGTTGGGTTGGAGTGAATATGTCAGGAGATCAGACGTAAGGTCGGATGATCGATTGACATGTCAGTAGAATGCTTTGTGCTGTGAATTCGAGCATCGGGCCGAAAAATCGGATATTACGTCAAGAAAATTGAAAGTTGCAGGAGTCAACATACCGATTGAGCAATATGCGAAAGAGAGGACGATGCTCCAAAAGATCGGACGAAGCGTCGGAAGAACCAATGGCATGCGAAACAATATATAATTCGTGCTTTATAATAATTTATCTAGATCGATTAGTTTAGATCTAATTGAGTTTGGGTAAAACAATGCCAACTCAATTAGGGGCTAATTGAGCCTGAATCAGGATTGAAATGAGCTTGCTGTCTAGCTTGTTCAGTATCATGTAGCAGGGTCTGGCGGTGGTACTGTCCAGATTAAGCGGTGGTACCGTCAGACTGAGCGGTGGTACCACCGAGTGTTAGTGCTGCAGGCGGTGGTTTTGCCCAGCATAGACGGTGGTATCGTCAAGACTCGAGAAACTCGGGATGAAATATTTTTTGGCTTCATTTTTTAAGTTCTTTGGGGTCTATAAATACCTCAACTATTCTTGCTTGGTGTAGCATGAATTTGACCAAAAAAAAGGAAAAATATTATTGTGAAAAAAGTTGTAAATCTTTCTTAGTATAGAGTCACCTCTTCCTAGTATTTAGAAGTTCTTCTAAAGAGAAAAATGAGGTTTAAGTATAAAAGAAAGAGGTGTAAAGGTTCTCTCCTGAACTTGTGAAAAGGAAAAAGAGTTGTAAGGATAGTTAATCTTCGCATGTTAAAAGAAAATTAGTAGTGAAAGTTGGTGGCCTCGAGTGAAGAGGAATCGGGAGCGAATGTAGGTCACGACGATCGAACCACTATAAAATTGGTGTGTCTCTCTTTCTCTACTTGTTTACTTATTTTGTAACTGTGTTACCTGCTCATTACTACTCTTACATACATTTTAAGTTTAAATATCTTTCGGATATCAATTTTCATTTAACGAGATTTTCCAAACTGACGTGATTTTACGTAAGCACTAATTCATCCCCTAGTGTCAATTTCGGTCCTAACATTTTTCTTATGCCTTTTGATTTTGAAAAATCAAAATCAAAATTTTTTATTTTAAATTAATAAAATATTATAAAAAAAATAAAAATAAAATTACATATGGAACTTTATGATACACTGGTCAAATTGTGAAGTTTAAATCTAGGTAACTTGGGTTGGAATCTTAATAGAAGTATTTAGTTTGATTAAAAAAATTATATTTATATTTATTATATATAAATTGTTAATTAAAATTAATAAAAAAAATTAATTATTCGAATCGGAATCGAGTATTTCTGAATCGAAATCAGAATCGATAATTTCGATTTAGTTCTAGATTCAAAACCTTGATGTTTAATTTTGATTTTTAGCTTTAAAAAATTAAAATTGATGATTTTGAAAATAGAATCGATGGTTTCGGAACCACGATTAGGGCTAAACAAAAGTATTGTTTCTTTATAATTATTAAAACCTTGTAAACTTAGAAAAATAAGATGCTATCATCCCTGCATTTTGTCTGCTGAAGTCTCTAGTATGCATATCTTCACGTGGGCTAATTATAGATTATCATATGTAATTAGTTATTTTTAGTATTTTAATTTTTATATTTTTAAATATTATATTATACTTATGCTAAGTAAAATTTTTAATCGATTTTGTTAACAAAAATACCGTATATACTCAGTAATTCATCGATTTTGTTAACAAAAATACCGTATATACTCAGTAATAAATTGAAATGAGATAGAGTTAGTGTTGAATCTTGGATTTTGATGATGAAACTAATTGATAATATTTATGATTTGATCTACGTTTTTAGTGATGCGGGATGCTTCAATCAGTGAGAGACAATTAAAACAGGAAGAATCATGTTGAGCCGAAAGAAAACATGTCAAAAGATTGGACGTCGGCCCGGAGGATCGATCGACGTATCAACAGAAGGCTTCGGGCCATGGATTCGAGCATCGGGCCAAGAGGAGCGGATATTGCTCCAAGGATATCGGAGTTACAGAGGACAACTGGCCGATTGGGCAATTGACCGCAAGAGAGAACGATGCACCGAAGAATCGGACAAAGCGTCGATGGACCAATGACCTGCCGGACAACATGATTCATACTCAGTAATAATTGTCTAGATCGAAGTGTGTTTTTATGTGTGCAGGATTAACTACGATAGTAAGACATAAAGCAAAATGAAGTTCTAGAGTCAAGAACGAGATTTTGTTGGGAGTTCAAGAGTTCATTGGAAGTTCGAACGTTCGTCGAAATTTTTGCCAGAACCAACCGAGAAGTCCAAGAGCTTGCCAAAGAAGCTCGTCGGAACTCACCAAGAAGATCATCGTAAAGTCTAGGAGCTTGCCGAGAGTCCGCCGGAATATTGCTGAGAGATTGTTGGACGTTCGCCGGAAGATCGCCGGAAGCTCATCGAAAGAAACCAGACTTATTTAGCTTATTGTATGTCTTAAAATTCGTAGTTAGCACATAATTGAGATTATAATCAGACTAACCCAATTAGGGGATAGTTGGACCCAAGTTTAGACTGTGTTGGGCCAAGAGAAAGGCCCAAATAGTGACCAAACAAGTGAAACTATCATAGCACAGTCTCCGAGACTGTGCTAGGTGGTGGTATCGCCTAGACACAGTCTTCTATATGGTGGTACCGCCAGACTAGGCAATGATACCACCCAATGTCAGACTGTAGGCGGTGGTACCGCCCATACCCTGAAATCTCATGGGATTTGAATTTTGATTTTATTTTTGAAGCCATTTGGGGTCTATAAATATCCTAGTTATTCCTGCATGGAGAAGCAAGAAAAGTGAACAAAAATTATGTGTTTCTATAGTTGAAATCCCTCGTAAAGTATAGAGTCCCTCGTTCTAAAGTTTAGAGACCATTCTAAAGGAGAGTGTGAGGGAAGCTTTGTAAAAAGGGGGTGTAAAGGTTCTCTCCTGAGCCTGCAAAAGGAGAATAGAGTTATAAGAAGGAGGTTGATCTTCGCCTATTAAAGGAAGATCGTTAGTGGATGCTGATGGCCTCGACGGAAGAGGAATCGGTGGAGTGGATGTAGGTTACGACGACCGAACTACTATAACTCGATTTGTATTTACTTCTTGCAATTTACATTTACTGCAAACTGCCCTTACTCTTACTTGCATTACATTTACTACACGCTTTTGTACGCTTTCAATTTCAATCTATCTTTCCGTCGTATAAAGAATTTTTCGAAATCGTCAATTTTACCACTGCACTAATTCATCCCCCCCTTTTAGTGCCGACTCATTCCTAATAGTTAGCACATACTCAATAATAAATTTTATGATATTTTTTATCAATATAGTCGACATCATGGGCGAAGTAAAATTCTTATGTCATTGACTCTGTAAACGAAAATATCATATATATTCAGTGATAAATTGAAATGAGATAGAGTCTGATAAATTTTATGATATTTTTATCAATAGATTCGATATCATGGATGAAGTAAAATTCTTACGTCATTGATTCTGTTAACGAAAATACTAAAATGAGATAGAATTAACATATACTCACTGATACATTCTATTATTTTTTTATTTTATCAACAGAGTCGATATCACGAAGTAAAATTAAATATTTTATTTTAAAAATATAAATATCTCAATATAATTAAAAAATAAGGATCGAAATATTAAACATAATTAATCATAGATAATTAACCCTTCACGTGTCCGATCAAACTGCTGTGACGTGGACGGCAGCACGATCGAGAGAGACCAGCAAGCCGAACAGTCGCGATTCGGCGTTCGGCACACGAAGCCTGTGTGACACGAGGCCGTCCCTCCTCCGGCCTTCTTCCGACGAGGTTTACCTCCACGAACGCAGTGCACGCGCGGACAGCGGAAACAGCCTCGGGAACCAGAAGGTTCCACCCTCGTCGTCGTCTTCAACGATCGTCTCACCGTTTGGGATATGATATGGTTTTGTTTGGTTCTCCTTCTTGATCTCGGTACAACTCCAGTGGTTCCTCGGGAAGGAGTTCTCGTCGTTGGAATCAAGAATGAAGTCAATGTTGGGGTTTGGGATTGGCCTTTGGGTTTGAGTCCAATTGAGAAAGGAATACTGCATCCTTAGGTGCTGCTAAGATTGTTCAACAGT